CAGGTCGTGCTGGATTAGGCGTCTGTCGGCTTGCGCGAGCCCGTCACCACCGTCACCGCAGGTCGTGCATGCCACACTTAAGGCAACGAACACCACCTCCTGGCCACGTCCCCATTTTGCAACGCAAAAAGGCCCGGAAGGCAACAGGCAAGTTAAATTCGCTGGCGGCGCGGATGTAAAAAGCGGATGTCGACAGCGGCTGTGTGGCACAAGACATTGCCCCCAATGTCCGATCTATGGATAAAGCTTTCATACATTGGGTTCCCCGGAATGTTTGGTTCAATATCACGTTTGAATAAAATCCATCCATTTACCACTGTATTTTATCAGCTTCAAATTCCAACCGATCTGAATGTTGAGAGGAACCTTTGCTTGATAATACTCAATATCATTAAAGCGTATTTCGACACTACCTATCCTAAAATGTCAGATGGAATATGCCTGACCATTATTCTGTCTTATTGGATACTGCAACTCCTATAGTCCCTTTGCAGTTTCGTGCCGGAAAATTCAGCTAACAACATGAATCCTGTTATTACAGGGAACATGCCACCCAGAAAAACTTCAGAGCCCATGACATAGAAGCGGCTCAGTGCCCCTTCTGTGACAGGTCCAGCAGCTGAGATCAGCCGAGCGATTAAACAGGATCTTCCGGTGCCAGAGAGCCGAGCGCGGCGTCCTGGCCGCTCACCGCAGGTGGTGCTGTATCTGCTCGTAATTGGCGTAGTGTCCGAAGCGCTGGTGGTCGTGGTCGGAGCCGGAGACGGAGCCGGAGCCGGAGCCAGGGCCAGGGCCGGGGTTGGGGCCGAGGCCAGGGGCCACCAGCCCCGCTCGGCTTCCGGGCCGCAGCATCGGCTCGTACGGGTCGCACATGCCGCGCCGCGCGGCCGTCGCGCCAGCGGGGCCCGGGCTGCGGCGGCGCGAGTCGGACGCCGCCGCGCCGCCGGCGCCGCATTCGGGGGCGCCGCCGCCGCGGGTGCGCGGCTGCGGCGCGCCCGCGGGCCGGCCGCCGGGGCTGGGCGGGTGCGAGCCGGCCAGGCCGGGCCCGCGCCGGTCCGACGCAACGGCGCCGGCCGCGCCTGGGTCGGAAAGAGCCGAGCGGGGCCAGGATGGGCTTCCCGGGATACGGGTGTCGGAGCGATGTCTCGGAATCTGGGAGTCGGGTGGGCCCGAGTTCGGGGCACGCGGGTCTGGGATACCACTGGGGTACACTCGTGATTCTGAGGGACCACTGGAGTACGCCCGTGGGTGCGAGGGACCATTTGAGTACGTCTTTGGGTCTGAGGAACCATTGGAGTACGCCCGTGGGTCTGAGGGACCACCGGGGTACACCCGTGGGTCTGAGGGGCCGTTGGGGTACACCCGTAGGTCTGAGGGGCCGTTGGGGTATACCCGCGGGTCTGAGGGACCGTTGGGGTAGGTTTGCCGACTTGCAGGACCGTTGAGGTACGCTCTCGGGTCTGGGGGGACATTTGCGTAGGCCCGTGGATCTGATGGGCCGTTGGGGTTGCGCCGCCGGTCCGACGGACCGCTGGGAGGTGTTCGTGCATCTGATGGGACGCCAGGATGGCCTCGCAGGTCTGACATATCGTTGGGATTGGTCCGTGGCTCCAGTGGACAGCTTGGGCGGCCTCGCTGGCTCGGTGGTCCACCATTGCTGCCCGCTGTCTGCTCCACGCGCTGAGGGAAATTAATCCGTGGCAGTCTTGCATGCAATCTGGGCCTAACCAAGAAACGAGCTAGTTTACAACTGAAAGCATTGGGAAAATGCCAAACATCGAACAGAACATTAGCAGCGAACAAAAACACAGATATTGAGTAAAATACAACTATCGAACACGATTCTTGACAAAATTGAATGAAAAAATGAGAAAAAAATGCAGGCGCACACAATTATTGCCAATAAACACCAATGCCATTCAAAACGAGATGGCCGCTGAGGAGTTAGCGTGCGCCACGCACCGCAGGGCGACGTGCAGGCGGCGGGTTAGCCCATCCCAACGGCGAACAAGAGAATGACGAAAAGCAAGCCTCCAGCAAATATCGTAGCCGCAGGGCGTCCGCCGGCGAGCCCAGACACCGGCATGCGGCCAGCCGCAGGCAGGGGACGGCAGGCGAGGGCGGCGCCCTCTGACCTACCCAGAAGGGCGGCGCCCTCTGACCTACCCAGAAGGGCGGCGCCCTCTGACCTACCCAGAAGGCGGCCGGCTGGCGCGGCGCCGCCGCGACGATCGCCGGCGGCCGCCGGTTGCGGAAGTACTCGCTGCTGCGCGCGCCGTGTCCGTGCAAATCGCGCACGAACGTCGGCTCAGGCACATTATTGTTGAGCCGGTCAGAGAGATGCGGCGGCGGTGCGGCCGGCTTGGTTGGGTGCGCCTGTAACCGGGTCCGGCCGGCGCCCTGCCGTCAGCCGGGCCGGCGCCGTCCCTAGGCCACACGCCGCACCGCCCACTGCGGGTCGCACACCGCACCACCCACTGCAAGCCGCACACCGCACCGACGTCCGCAGAAAGCGCGAGGGCATAGGAGCGTGCTACGAGTCCATCACCTCCCCAGTTCGCAAAAGGAAAATCAAACAAGATGTTAAAAAATCTAGAATCGTGATTACTACCAGCTCTTCGCAGGTGGTCATTATTGATGGTCAGACACTAGCTGGAAATGGGCAGTCAAACGCAATCAAAATGTACTAAGTACTATTTCTCTAACGTCTAGTACTATTTCACGTCAGACGAGCTAACATTTAACGTTCAATGAGTAAGTAACCATGGTATGCTCATAGCCGTAAACGTCAATCTTTTTTCCAGCGTTTTAACACTCCACGTTGCACTTGAGTCATTCCAAGACAATTCGCGGAGGGGACAGCCGCCAAAAACTGGCCCGAAGCACTTCACGCCGGGGATCCACAATAGTGGACTTCAGCTCCAAATGTAGCGAAAATATACACGGCAATGCGGCATCGTGGATGTGTAATATTACTGTCAATATCGACTTCGCGTTTGCCAAAACCTTCCGAAGCCCCTCCTCTCCCTGCGCACGTAGGAAAAACTGCTGATGTAGGCTCGCACGCGTGTTGTTTTTGAACACAAGAGGACGACTACGGTCGCACTGGCTGATAGGCATCGATCACGTGTTGACGTCTCTAGAAAGCGCTACCCGTAGTGTGTGTACGCGCATTTGGTCGAACTGATTTGGCTCTGAATCGCATATAACCAAAAGCAAGTTGCTTACTTGGTGGCATTAAGGGGTTCCTTGAGCCAATTAAACGAAGCAAATGACGACAGAAGTGTTAGTCGTGCATGTCTTTACGTTGGACAGCAGCAACAGGACCATAGGCGCGTCATCATACGACCCATCAATGCCCAACATAAATCACTCTGCAGGGGTGCAAGCGTACCGACCGAAAGAGCAGCACAAGGATGAAGCCATTTCACCATGGCCGGGGCAGAAGCCCGCAAGCTGCGCACGCAGCGTGCCACGATCGGTGCCCGCCCTGCGCCGAGCTGGAGCGGCCGCCCGAGAGCCTGCCTACCTGGCGGAGTCGGAGCTCTGCCGCCTCCTCGGCCGCCTCCGTCACGTACACGCCCTGGCGGCTGGCGTGGCGGCGCTGGTGCTGCTCACGCAGCTGCTGCATGCGGTCCGTGCGGCTGGGCGCGCGCTCCTGCGCCGTCGGCGGCATCGGCCCTCCAGGCTGGCCCTGCGACGGCTGCCGGCAAGCCCGGTCGGGTCAAGTCCGGCCAGGTCAGACCATGTCAGACCAGGTCGGGTCGGATCGGGTCATGTTCGGCTGAGGCAGGTCCAGTCAGGCCAGGTCCGGTCGGGCCATATCCGGTGAGGTCAAGTCGGGTTTGTTGGATCGGGTCGGGTCTGGCCATGTCCGGCCGGCTCAGGTCAGGTCCGGTCGGGTCACGTCCAGCCATGCCAGTTCAGATCGGATGGGGTTTGATCGGATTGGGTCAGGTCCGGTCAGTTCAAGCCCGGACAGGTCAGTTGAGGTCAGGTCGGGTCATGTCTGGGGAGGGCAGGTCAGTCGGGTCGGATCACGTCTGGCCAGGCCGGATCGGGTCGGGTCGGGTCAGCGGTGTATGTGGCGGTATATGCTCAGACAGGGCATGCAATGAGCGCGCCTACCGCATGCCCACGGAGCAGCTGCTGCAGCCACACGGCCTCCAGTTTACGCAAACCACTTAATCTGTTGATGTTTGCTCACAAGAAGTGCTTCCCGCCAAGACATTGACATATCAGCGTCAATCCTAGGTCCGCGCGGACAACCTCAATGCATGTGAACTGCATCGTACAGAGAGACGTGCTTGTCTCGTTGGCATATCACTGCCGCAACAGCCTCCACCCCAGAGACAGCTGTCCGTCTGCTCGGCCACAGCGGCCATGCCGTCAGCTGAGCTCCACTAATCACTGACAGGCAGCTTAACAGCGGCATACACTCCATGCCGTACTCGGCGCCGGCCGTGGGGCGCACCGCACCACTCACCAGCCTGTGCTGCTGGGCCTGCTGCTGCTGCTGCTGCTGGACCTGCTGCTGCTGCTGTTGCTGCACCAGCCGCTGGTACTGCTGCTGGATGCGCCGCTGCTCGTCCTCGGCTCGGCGCCGGGCCGCGATCCTGTTGAGCTCCTCTTGCTGCTGGCGCAGCTCGTCGGGCGTCAGGCGCAGCGCCGCGTCCGCCGCCTCGCCGCCCTTGCGGTGCCGGCCGAACCTGCCCACGCGCGGGCCGCTTAACACGGAGGCCCGCCATACCGACAGGGCGAACGAGGGACGCGCGATAATCAGCACGGTCAAGCGAGCCGATAGGGTATTGCTGCCCAACGACCGACACTATGGGTGATGGTGAGGATAATTTGGGTTTTGGGCGCATCGACTGCAGGATGTCATGCAGCACCCATCCCGATCCTGAGGGGCACACCACGATGGGCGTAATGTGACATCAACATTATCTGGTAGCCCCGTGAGTCGACTGACCGACTCCCGCAGGGCTGGGCGGTCGCCCCTACCTGAACATACTGCCGAGTCCCTTCAGTAGGCCGGAGCGTCGCTTCGCCTTCTTGTCGTCGGCGGCGCCCGAGCTCATGGAGCTCTGGCGGGCGGCGCGGTCTCGGTTGAAGCCCGGCGCCGCCTCCTCGTCCACTAGATAGGTGACAAAATCGGCGTCAGCCGCCAGCGGCACTGCAGGCGTCCAAGGCGCGCGAGGAGGGAGAGACAGAGGGCGGTCAGCGGCGGCAGCGGCCGGGCACGAGCGGTGCGGAGAGCAGCCTCCACCGACAGCGGGCCCGTCTCAGGGCGCGGCCGACGCTGGGTGTCCACCGTAACAGCCGAGAGACGCCGCTGGTGACGAACGGTCGCCTCGCCACCGCGGCGCTGGCCACCACGCGGCACCCAAACGCGGCAGCGATAGACACGGAAGACAGCCCACCGCCACATCACGACAGCCAAAGCAGAAACGACACGAACCGGGTGAAGAACAGGTCCCTTGATGGAGTACAAGGCACGACCGCGTGCTCAGGGCCCCTCCCAAACAGGTTCCGTGAACTGTAAGTGGTGTCAGGGAGATTCTGCGTCGTCACGCTCCTTTTTGCCGCTTGCTGATAGCGACGTGTAAATTGAATGCCGATTATCTTCCATACGCGTAAATATACTGTGGTATTGGGCGATCGAACGCACTACGAGCATGCGGGTGCAACTACTGATGCATCCACATGCATAACTACGCCCGACAAATATAAACACATCGGCCCTTAATAGCACATAAAATAATGTTGTGGCATGCAAAGAGTGAAGTATTTAAATCAGCGACACAAATTTTCCTGACCACCGATGCAAAGCATGACATGGAAACATACCAGACCAAAATGATGTAAAACCGTGCGAGGTGTGGAAATCATGCCTGGGATTGATCACGGAGCGGTTTGGGGGACAGGACGCACGCATTCTCAGCCCACATCGATGGATACTGAACCACTGGGGTGTAAATCGCACCCACAAAGCAACCAGCTGCAGCCATGTCACGACGGCGCCAGTTCGCACAGCTGCTCAGTCGCGGCAGTATGCCGCCGCTGCTGCTCCATGTCTGCCTGTCCGTCCACCCGCCGACGGCCGGCCGGCAGCAGCGTCCGCTGACGCCCGTCCCACCGGCGCCGCCCACTGGGCGTCCACCCGCCGACGGCCGGCCGGCAGCAGCGTCCGCTGACGCCCGTCCGACCGGCGCCGCCCACTGGGCGCCCACCCGCCGACGGCCGGCCGGCAGCAGCGTCCGCTGACGCCCGTCCGACCGGCGCCGCCCACTGGGCGTCCACCCGCCGACGGCCGGCCGGCAGCAGCGTCCGCTGACGCCCGTCCGACCGGCGCCGCCCACTGGGCGCCCATCGCCGGGTGCGGGCGGCCCACGCCGGCCACTCACGCGTCTCCATGCGGTCCCGCATGTTGGCCAGCGGCGCCTCGTAGCTGCGGTCGACAGCGGCGCGAAAGCTCTCGTTGCAGCCGCGGCCGCGCACGGCCTGGGCGGCGGCGCGGTGCGCGAACGGCCGCTCGCTGTCCTCCACCAGCGACAGCTGCCGGCCGCGGGCCGCGTCAGCAGACGCACGGCGAGAGGCCAGCGCCAGGCGCCACGCCCTATGTGCTCGGCTTTACGCACGAGCTGGGGCGAGTGGCTCAACAAGCTCAATCCTACCCACCCCATCGCCGTCAGTCGTCTCCACAAAAAAATCGGTTCTCCGACATGCAAACGGGATACGTATTCCAATAGTCAACCAACAAATCACGGACACGTTGTGCGTTGTCACCAGTCGCCAGCGCTGACCGGCCGTCACGGCCGCGGCGACGCTATCCCTGGGGAGTACCGCCCGACGCCAGCTCACCTCGTGCACCATGGTTTGCAGCGACTCGAGGCTGGAGGACTTCTTCATGCCGAGGCTGGGACCCAGCTCGCCTGCCAACACAGCGGCCCCGGCCGTCACCAAAGCGCAGTGCTGGCACGGGCAGGCGGCGGCGCGCGGCGCCGGCCGGCCTCGCGCCGCCCAGACCCGCCGCCCCATGGCCCGTCTCGCCGGCCGCGGCTCGTCAGCCGGCACCGGGCCGGCGGCGAGCCGCCGCAGCGCCCCGGCCCAGACCGTGCACAGGTCCGCTGTCGGCGCGGGGCGCCGGCCGACAGCCCGTCACGCAGAGGCCTTTACAGGATCAACGACAGGCCTGGTGGGGCTTCCACACCAGGGCCGCCGCCGCCGCCGCCGCCGCCGCCGCCGCTGAGGCGCAGCGACGTCACAGCCGTCCGTGTCAGGAGACAGGCATCAAACGCTTGACATATGAAGAGCCAGCGAAGCCGCGTCACAAAAAGTGACTCCCGCTCTCTTCGCCTTGCTGCGGCTTCGCCCCTGAACCTGGAGTTAAGACTTCCCCGACTTCATCCTACTCTCAAAAGCTACAGCCGTTGCTCACTGACCTGGGCCCAACCCATCTTGGTGGAGTCGCGCTACTTCCTTGCATATAAGAATCGTGACACACAGAACCAGTGTAACATCACCGGAATGTCCCAGATGCGCCTGCTATGCTTCAATTGCGAAATGGTCGTGTCCCTTTCAGACTGTACTCCGTATCAAACAGAAACCTATTAACTCCCTCAACAGAGCGTGAAACTTCGAACCCCATATACCTTGTCCAGTCGTGGTTCAACATCAGCATATCTCATTTTCACATGGCAATACTTTGCCTACACAACGCCATATCGACCTTGTGGTTTGTAAAAATTAAGAATAACAACGCAAATTCAACTGACTAAAGCCGATGATCGAAACAGCCATTCCTTCTCCAAAATGAGAAGTCATGAGGAGAGTTCTTCAATTAACGTATCACGTAAGCGACGCGCTTGCCCCGGTGGCGCCGTCTCCAACGCGGCCCAGCCTGCGGCCGTGAGCCGACCCGCCCCACAGCTGGCGCTCACCCGCGTCCCGGCGGCGCGCCTCCTCCCGGCGCAGCTCGGCCTCAAGCAGGCGGCGCTGCTGCTCGCGCTCCTCGCGCGCCCGCTTGGTGCGCTGGTACGTGTCCGTGCCCTTGGCGTCCTTGGAGGCGTGCCGCTTCTCGCTGATGGACTGGCGGCCCAGCTGGTCACGAGTGAAGCCCACACCTGCCTGCTCCAGCGACGTCCTGACGGCGGGCGAGAGGCGGCGGCGGCGTCAACGGCCGGCAGCACACGGCCCAGCACAGGCCAGCAACAGCCCAGCCACCTCATCAACAGTCCAAGTCTGCGGCAAACTCGCCCCAAAACCCAACAGTGCCCAGCTGGTTCTTGAACGTCACATAAAGCTGTCAGTCGCGAACAATTGCTCGCAGAAATCAACACACCTCCGCATGAAACAAAAATGGGTAATTGAGTCCACCCGCCCAAAACAAAAAAGTCGTTTCGCTTGCCCTCCCGCTCCCTTACTGGCTGGCGTAGGCTGCGTGCGTGAACGGCTCGGCGGTGGCGGCGGCGCTACCCGGTCCGCCGGGCGCCGCCTCGACGGAGACCGCGTCGACAGTGGGGCTGCAGCCGACCGGCCGCTCGCCGGCGGGGGACGCCGCCGCCTGCTGCAGCGCCGACGCGTCCCACGTGTCGTGCGTGGCCTGGGGGCACCGGTCCGGTCACCGCGCCGCGCAGGGGAGCGCTCGCCACATCAGGCGCCAAGACGAACATGCAGAACATCGTCGCCTCTTCAACGATGAGAATGCGCGAACGATTTCACCGCTTCAGCTTGAGCTGGCCGTGGGGCATGCGACATCACTCGCGGGAAAGGGGTCGATCTAACCCAGGTCATCAGCGGAGGTCATCAAACTATTTGTGAGTGATTACAGCTGTGCCTGGGCACGCCGCATCGCTCCCCTTGCCGCGCCAGCTCCCATCCCCAGCCTGGTCCACGGCACAGTTGCAGCCGGCGCCTTACCTGGTAGTAGCTGTCGTTGCGGATGTTGCGGGGGTGTCGGTCGGCGCCGGGGCCGGGGCCGTGGCCGTGGCCGTCGGATGGCGGCGGCGGCGGCGGCGGCCGATGGATCACGGTCACCTGCGACTCCTCGCTGTGGCCCGACTGGTCGCGCTCGCTGGATGGCCGCCAGCCGGCCAGCACCTCGCCTGAAGCCCCGTCAGGCATGGCGTCAAGCGTGGCCACTGCCGGCAGCGCCGCCGCTGCCCCTCACGCCGCAGAGTGAGAGCGACAACGACCAAAGACGGGCAGCAGAGCAGACCTCTGTGGATCGGCCTTCGATGGCAGCAGTTAGTGCGGCGCGACGCGACACGGGAGCGACCCAGGACGAGGAGATGGGGTTAACAGGGCGGCAGCGCAGACATGTCAGTGCCGGCCACTCGTCGCTCTCACCGGACGAATTGGAGAGCATGCTGTTGACAGACTCGCGTCCGCTGCCGCCGCCCAGATCGCCCCGACGCGCTACCGTCAGCGTGATGACGCCCGACTTCGGGCCCTGCGCAGGACAGAAAGAGAGGTGGCGTTACGCGGCTATGCGGGTCAGGCGCCCTCCACGCGGCACACCGGCTCTTCACATCCGAGGTGTAGCGGGCCACCTTGACTGGTGGGGCCCAGTCTAACCCCATGCCACAGGATACAGTCCAACCTCCTGACGCAAGGCGACAGGCCTGACCTCGCAACTCCCAGGCCAGGCCTCTTCGACCTGGCAGGCTGTCCGCCTTCTGAAGACGGTCGGTGGCACCTGGCCTGCCTCGCTGCAGCCGCAGCCCCCGGCCTGACCGGGAGGTCGTGGACCTCGCCTGACCTCTTGGCACATGGCGCGCCGCAGCGTCTCCATGGCGTCGCTGTTGCTGAGCCCCAGCAGGGCCGTGTAGTTGACGTCGATCAGTTGGTCGTTGCGCTGCAAGCGGCCGTCCTTGCTGGCGGCACCGCCGTGAATAACGTTTTTGATGTAGATGCCCACGTCCAGCGGGCCGCTATGGCCGGCCGTCGTCTTGCCCTTGACACTGATACCTGGCGGCGGCGCGCGGCGCGCTCACGGCGCTATCTCTTACGCTGTTTCAGCGCGCACCAGACACCAGCTGGCTGGTGGGGCGCGCCTCGGTGGCAAGTGAGCACACAACTGACGGCTCAAACATTGAGAGATGGGGGGAGTGTGCGTGTGCGTGTGCGTGTGCGTGTGCGTGTGCGTGTGCGCGCGTGCGTAAGTGCGTGCGTACGTGCGTAAGTGCGTGCGTGAGTGAGTGATGCGTAAGTGAGCGCATGAGAGAGTGAGTGAGTGAGTGATGCGTAAATGCGCGCGTGAGTGAGTGCGTGAGTGAGTGAGTGAGTGAGTGAGCGAGTGAGTGAGTGAGTGAGTGAGTGAGTGAGTGAGTGAGTGAGTGAGTGAGTGAGTGAGTGAGTGAGTGAGTGAGTGAGTGAGTGAGTGAGTGAGTGAGTGAGTGAGTGAGTGAGTGAGTGAGCGGGTGAGCGAGAGAGCTGTATGGGGACCAGAAAGAACACAATTGACGGCATACCGAGTGAGACAAGAAATATCAAACGGCATCGATAGGTGCAGACGGCACGAACGCGCACACGAAAAGGCGAACCAGCGCCAGGGCAGCCATGCCTGTGCAAAGAGAACTGCTCGGGCAGGTACTCAGCCAGACCCAGATGGCCGCCGGGAGGCGCGGCATGAGCCTGGCGCGCTCACCGAGGCCGGCTCGCTCCGAGTCGTGCACGGGGATGTCGAACACGAGGACCTCCTTGTCGCGAGAGGGCTCCGACTCGTCCGGCTCGCGGTGGTCGGCCGGCTGCGCGACGCACGAGGCTGTCAGCACACCCTCGGCTGGCCGCTTCGACGGCCACGCCAGCGCTTACCACGGAGCGGGGGACGGGGGGGGGGGGGCGGCGGGGAGGGGGGGGGGGGGGGGGGGGCAGCACCGAGCTCACTGTCAAGACGAAGCTGCCGGCACAGCACATTTTGGTCTTGTTTCAGGAGGCTGATAGCGCCGATCCGAGAGGATCTATTAAAGCCATAAATAGCGCACACTACTCGTCAAATGCACACTGAGCTCTACACTTCTCTTAAGATTACACCTATGCTCTATCTCAGGGCACTACACGGCTGACGGGATGTGGCGCGGCGGCAGGCGCTCGCCGTCGGCCGGCCACTCACCAGCGGCCGCGGCAGCTTGGGGCTGGCGTCCTCCTGTTCGTGGCGCGAGAGCACGAGCTCGACGGGCTGGGCCGGCCGCACGGCGCGCAGCATGTGCACCACCTGGCGCTGGCTGAGTCCGGTGACGGCGACGCCGTCGATCTCCAGTAGCCGGTCCCCCGGCCGAAGGCGGCCGTCCTCCACCGCCGCGCCCTGCCCCCGCGTCCCGGCGTCAGACGGCGGCTCGCGCGGACCAGCGGTCGGCGCCCGCCGTCCGGCCAGCAATGCTCCGGCAGGCAGCGTCCGCGGCGTCGCCCCACACGGCGAGGAACGCGGCCCACGCACAGTCAGAAGTGACATGGCCGGCTGCCGTGCAGGCCATGGTGTGCCTGTCCCCGTTGGCTGTGGTCGTGCACCCACTCTCACACCAGTTACATTGGCAGTGCGCAGCCCCCTTATGGCATAATGGTAGCCAGCAAAGCTCAATTGCGTGCCACGTAACAGGCGATCACAAATGCCGTTTTCATTAATGGCATGTTTGGCTGTACAACCAGCTTAATGGAAACCACATGTCACGGTAAGTATGCATCGGTTTTCAGGACGCCCCTCAAAGACCCTGTCCAGTTTCTAATTCCATCTACTCGGCCGACACAAACAGGTCCGCACGCCACCCTGCAACGAAGCCTGCCTCTTCCGCGCCTCACTTTGCCAGACCTAAATCAAACCCCGTGGCGTGGCGTGGCACGAGTCGCGACCTCGGCGTAGCCTGTGCCACGTCCTGCCCGCCTCCCCTTGTGAGCCCCGGCGTGGCCGGCTCACCTGCGGCAGGATGTTCTTGACGTAGACGGGCGCGTGTGCGCCGGCCGGGTTGTCGCGCGTCGTCACGCTGAAGCCCAGGCCGTCGGCGCCCTTGACCAGCGCCACCGACAGCCGGCGGCCCAGCTTGCGCGTGTTGGACGTCTGCATGACGCTCTGCGTGCGCGACGACAGCGAAGCCGGCACCTTCTTGGTGGGCGAGACGGTGGCGACGCGCGAGCCGCCGCCTGCCGAGACGGAGGCCGGTCACACCCGGGCGGCGCGCGGCGACGCAGGTCACGTCCGCCCTCCGGCCTCGCCCCCAGCCTCCGCGCCACGGCAGCCCCAGTCGAGAGCAAGCGCCGCTGTCGCGGTGCCAAACACGCCAAGTCAGTGATGAGCGGGTCGATGACCGCCGCGAGGGCCAACAAAAACCCCTGACGGCTGGCCGGAGCCGTGCGGCATTCCCGTCCGCCGCATCTGTCTTCGGCACGGCTGCCGGAACGCCACACTGCCCTGCATTCCGGCGCGTTCACAAGCGCTGTCTCCCATCTGGGTCGCTACAGCTGTCGCCAGCCGACCCCGGGGTGGCTGACTGACCTCTGGCGTCGCCGTCGAGTGCGTCGATGGGCGTGTGCGAGCGAGAGAGCGCGGCCGCCGGCGCCGGCGGCTGCGAGCGGCCCGGCACGTGCTCCACCAGCAGTCGCAGATCACCGCCGCTCATCGCGCTCACGAAGATCTCCTGCGCCCTACGCAACCCAGCCGCAGCGTCAGGTCCGGCTGTCACGCGTCCGGTGCTCAGCCGGGCGTCGACGCTGAAGGCTCGACGACACGTGTCGCGAGGGGCGGGGGCTGGCGGGACACGCAGCCGGAGGGAATCTGACCGGGACCGGGGCCACGGGGCACGCCGCGCGCGCGTGAACACCACTTCCTACACGGTAAAGACTAACACAGGACAGCCGCAACACACAGGAAACATGAACGAAGCAGTCCAATCCCAGCCAGCTAAAGCCACAGCCGGCACTGTGGCGATGCCAGTCGTTCGATGGACCTGCCACAAAGCAGGCTTGTAGTGGAAGCGTGGGGTCGTTTGGGGTCTCATACTCTGAAATTGCGGCAGCAAGGACGTGGAAACTATCGGAGGCGGTTGTTTCATTGCGTCAGGTTCATCACTTTTTCGTATTTTTGGAACCAGAATAATTATAGAGCCAGAGTCGGTTAAAATCATGGGCTATACACACCACACCTATGCAACTAATATAAGAAGGAACTTAAAGCGGCGAAAATTGGAACGTGAACTAAGGACAGCACGAGCGTTAACGCGACACACGCCATAGAAGGACTGTTCCAAAAAGGACAAATGCGGCCCAACCAACTACAACAAACGCGCTGCAAAGTTCGTGAAAGACCAGCGCCTGTCACGAAACCTAACCGGATCAAACAGAAACCAGAAGTGCCCCGTTACTGCCGTCGCTGCGCCGCCGCTGGCCAGCGGCCACACCGCTGGCGGGTGGGAGTGGTGAGCCCGCCCGCCGCACCTCTGGAAGCTGATGTTACGCAGGCTGTGGCCGTTGATCTGCACGATGCGGTCGCCGACGGAGACGCGTCCGTCGCGCCGCACCGCGCCGTCCGGCTCCACCCGTTGCACGTGCAGGCCCGCGTCGCGACCGCTCTCGTCACACTCCGGCACCACGTGGATCCCTGGCGGACGGACACGCGTCAGGGTCGGCGCGTCACGACAGGCCACGGGGTTCTATTTGTATGCGAGGGTCGGCCAGCACTGTTCGCCTCTGGGATGCCTGCCACCGGGGCACTGCTGCAACGTCGTGCCCTAACACTGCAGCACGCAGTTCTTCATGTAAACGTAACCAACCCTGGTCAGAGATGCCAGCAAATTTTGGGGGAAGCAGCCTATTCGTGGTTTCATCGGACAGATGCATTGCAAACGGCCACCGGCAGACGGCCAGAACTCACCGAGGGGCCCGGAGACGTCGGTCAGGACCACCAACTGCTGCTGCTGCTGCTGCTGGGGTGGCGGCCACCTGGTATCCTCGTACGAGACGTCTGGCGAGCCGTTGGAGCCCCCCACCGGCTCCCATCGCGGCGTCTGCGGGCTGACCAGACGGTCGGCCGCCTCCGCCCACCTGCCGACCGGCCCCACACGTCACGCCCCAGTCTTCGCTCCATCTCCGCTCAGCGCGTTCCCTTCGCAGCGCAGGCTCACCGCTCGCCTTGTTCCCCTCTTTCCTTCGACACGCTTCACATTCCATCCGCTCACCTCACCTTCCTCAGCTTGGGCTCATCTCACCTCCCTTTTTCCTCTCGCCATCGTGCATACCCTCACTACGCTCCGGCCCGGCTATATTTACCTCATCGGCCTACTTTTTCGATGTCCCAGCCAGCCTACCGCATCTCCGGGCGAGCACATCCTTGTTATTGCCACCGCTTGAAGTCTAAAACGAGCGCAAGTACTTGATACACATACCCGACCAGCCATACCACACACCGTACTATCGGAAACTGCCGTCACACAGCTTCAATCCCTTACAGAAGAGACGGTCCGGTTTCGTTCCGGTCCGGTCTGGCCGGTCCTATCCACCGGACAAGTACGATGGCAGCCTGACGACCCCCCCCCCCCCCCCCCCCCCCGTCTCCGTGGCCTATGGTGCACTCCAGGCTGGTGCGGGCTACACCGCCCGACACTCCTCCGACAGCGTCCGTCGCTTTCCCCGCAGGGCCGCGTGATGTGACCTGAAGTGGCCTGGCCAGAGGGCGAGAGGTCTGGGACCTCCGCGACTCCCCTCCCAGCCAATGGGTGTCTTCTACACCTTAGTGTGGTGCCTCGAATGGGACGCTTCGCTGTATCTGAGTGCAGCATGGTGACCGTGGCGCCTCCAATGAGGCGGCGCCGATGGACGCCAAACCCAGACCAACCGCCGAATGGCGCCCAGGCAGATCGCCCAACCGTTTGTCAAAAACCATTGACTTAACGTTCATGAACTCAAGCATCAGACTCGTTATGAGCCTAAAATAGGGAGTGCCCCTTCTCCTGCTACATTTGCTTGCTTTAGTCTCCTATGTACTAAGGAAGAACCTCAAACGGGGCCAACAGGCGGCACGGGGAGGTATGACAAGCTATGGAGAATGCACACGGCGAGGAAACAGCTAGCGCTGACCATTTTTGGATTGGCATGTTTGGCAACGCGCTATAGTTTAAATAATAACGTACATAAATAGGTCTGCGGCCACGCGTCCCCACGCGCCTAAGCTGATCTACACCAGCTGAGGCAGGAAACGCCAACACAACATAATGTAGAGCATACGGAGCGTTACAGAGAGGAAACGTTATTACCACGGAAGCGAACAGTTATAAGTTGACCACAGCAAACGCACGTGATACTGTGCCCTGTCCAAATCGTTCCGACAGACGGGATACCGGTGTTCCGTCCCTCCACATACAGTGCGCCCTTTGCGAACGCATGCTCGGTCGCACGGCTCCACGGCACCACTAGCATTTCCGTCGTACACCCACATTGCGTCGGGCACCGCAGCTTCAGCTAATCCCACGTAGATTTCGACGTCTGACACCTGTACAATGTGCCCGCTGCTCGCTAGTCAGATGACCGGTCAGGATGAGACAAGTTCCAGGACTACAACAATGCCCGCGTCACGGCGGCCCCTGGGCCTGAGAAAGACCACCTCCCCGCGTGCCCCTATCTGTAACCCCAACAGAGGCGCCAGCGGCCGAGCCACGCCGGCTGCCCAGCCTCCAGTCACGCACCTCCATATGCCGTCGCTGTTGCCGCCGACCTGCATGGAGAGCCGGTTGGCGTCGCGGGCGAGGCGCGAGAACGGCGGCCGGTCGCGCTCGTCGCCCGACGCCTCCTCCCGCTCGCCCGGCGGCGTCAGCTGCTCGAAACTCGTGTCCTGCGGAGGGGAGGCCGTGTCACGGGGGGCAGGCGCCGACCCGTCGGGATCGTCACGGCGTCGCCGGCACGGGTGGCCAGTAGACGCAGAAAATGCGACCACAAGACGGCTCCGTGCTTTCTCATGCGCTAATGCCGACATCATCTGTTGTTTTTTTTTTTCAGTTAACTGCGATGTAATGATTGACGCTGTGTAAATACTTCAATAAAACCAATAGTATGACAATGCACGGACGTTGTTCGGAAGCCTCAAGCTTGTTCGGTCCAGCCCGACTGGTGCTCTGTGTCGCGTCATCGCACCATTCGACAATCTATTCCGGCCTACCCGGTCAGGAGACGGACCGCACACGCATTGCAGCCCCACCAGTCGTGTGAGGCCACCGGCGGAAGGACAAACAGACCGCACACCGAACCCCCGCACGGCCACCGCACCCAGGCGCGCCGCCGCCGCCGTCAGCCACTGTCGCAGGACCCAGCTGCGGGAGGCGCGGGTCGACCGGCAGACGGCGGCCGCATCAGGGCGGCCGGCCGCTCCGGTCCCGCTGACAGCTGGGACAGGCCGGTCGGGCCGACCGAGCCCAGCCGGCGCGGCCGGCCACGGTCGCCGTGTAACGGCCCGGCCCGGGCCGCGCGCACGCCCACCGCTCGGTCGCCGCCGCCACCGCCCCGAGCAGGTCGCGCGGACGAACCTTGCCCCGGGACAGGCCGCCGGCGGTGCGCAGCGCCGACACCGGCAGCCAGCGTGACGGCCTGGTGCGTGTCCGACGGCTCGGCAGTGCGTCACCGGCTGCCTGCTCTGGCGGCTGCCGAGTTCGGGCGGAGCACGCGGGTCCGCCACCAGACACGTGGGCCCACAACCAGTGCCGACGGGTCCAACTCGAGACTACACACCGCCGCGGCTGTTAACAGTGGCCAGACGGGGCCGACGCCTCCACATTGGCATGGGAAAGGTGACCATAGCAGGCGTCACACAGGATATCTCATGCTTTCGTTTTTACGAAGGTTTACATGAAAGAAGAGCCTGCTTGAAAAAAGGTCCGTCGAAAGCAAGGTATGCCACCATTTGTGCGCAAGACGTCCTAATGCCAAAAAAGCCTTGCATGACCGTTGGTTGATCCTTGCATGACGCTGCCCATTGGGCCTTACACTTGCGGCAACCTTCCGATACCACGCGTAAGACCCAACAACGCGTCACAAACCGCCAAATTGCCTTCTTCCGTTTTCGACGCGCGTGCCTTTGGGAATAAGGTCATCGCTCAGCGATCCCACACGGGGTGAAATCAGTACCTTAAGGCAAAATGTTGAACAGTCCGAAGCTCAGCTGAGCAAGATTTTAGCCTGTCCCATTTACACGCTTAAGAGATGCCTGCATGACACCCGATCCAGGCAATGCACGTCATACAGGCAAAATCGCACGGCTCCTGTGCGGAAAACGTGCCGTGCCTCCTTCCGTCTCAGCACCGCGACCAGGCAAACTATTTTGCCGCCAAACATACCAAACCGCTAACTGTGCAGTTCACAAATCAAGTACGAGAAATAGTTTGTCAACGACGTGTGCTCACGGGACGCAGGGAGTAATCGACGAGCGTGACATCTTGGACTATGAAAAGGCGCTCCCCTCCCCCCCCCCCCCCCCCCGATGGTCGTCTACGGCTAATCACTTCTCAATGAAAAACTATTCCAAGAATTAACAACATACCGCTATCAAAATATTGCCTAAATTGGAATTTTTACAAGGTCTCTCAAACCATCCGTGAAGCTCCCAAATGCTTCATGAAGACGAGTAATGTCTCCACGTCAAGGTCCCCACGAAAACGCGTAATGTTTCTAAAAAGTGTGTTTGCAAACACTTCATTAGATAAGTCAGGAGAAAAAATTTAAACAACAGTCGCTGCTGACCGTAGACGCGTGAATTCGGTGTACAAAAAAAAGGTTGGAGTGACGAGTGCAAGCCAACAATCCACGAAGTGTAACGGAAGTAGGTTCCATACCGCAAACCTCAAGGACAACGGTGATGTCAACACAGACTTCAGCTCCATAAAGAATGTATGTCAAACCCCAACGCATGCCTTCCCTCTATGCCCAGACCAGACCAATTCATCACGCCCCAATCGAGTCCCTATGACAGTGAGGTGACTCGTGCTGTCGTGCCCTACACAACACGTGGGGGGGGGGGGGGGGCGCCGTACAGGCCGGCACGTGACCTGCCACCGCCTGTCATTTGGAGATGCCACTCAGAAAACCCCCGGGAGCTACGAAGCCACAGCCAAGCACGTTTCTGAGCGTGCTGCTGACCTTGATCGGGGTCGAGCTGGCCACGATCTGGTTGTCAATGATGGGCGCGGCCGACCACCGTTTGCTGGCGTCGGCGCACAGGTCCGGCGGGAACTGCGGCAGCGGGCACACCTGGTTCAGCGCCGGCTCACTGCCGCGCCGCACCTGCCGGGCACACGCACGCGCTCACACCCGACCGGTCACAGACAGAGCCCGAGCTAGGGCTGGCTCGCTGCAGTGTCTGCCGGCACACGCACGCGCTCACACCCGACCGGTTACAGACAGAGCCCGAGCTAGGGCTGGCTCACTGCAGTGTCTGCCGACACACGCACGCGCTCACACCCGACCGGTCACAGACAGAGCCCGAGCTAAGGCTGGCTCACTGCAGTGTCTGCCGGCACACGCACGCGCTCACACCCGACCGGTCAGACAGAGCCCGAGCTAGGGCTGGCTCACTGCAGTGTCTGCCGGGCACACGCACGCGCTCACACCCGACCGGTCACAACAAACCCGAGCTAGGGCTGGCTCACTGCAGTGTCTACCGGCACACGCGCGCGCTCACACCCGACCGGTCACAGACAGAGCCCGAGCTAGGACTGGCTCACTGCAGTGTCTGCCGGCACACGCACGCGCTCACACCCGACCGGTCACAGACAGAGCCCGAGCTAGGGCTGGCTCACTGCAGTGTCCGCTGCCACACGCACGCGCTCACACCCGACCGGTCACAGGAAGAGCCCGAGCTAGGGCTGGCTCACTGCAGTGTCTGCCGACACACGCACGCGCTCACACCGGACCAGTCACAGACAGAGCCCGAGCTAGGGCTGGCTCACTGCAGTGTCTGCCGGCACACGTCGTTCAGTCAGTGACCTCGGCCAGGAGCCGGGGGCCAGGATTCACTACTCCCCACCATTTGGGGACGCCAAAGCGGGCGGCAACTTGAGATTTAATCCCGAGTGACAAACGACAGCATGGGGCGGAGAGAAACGCGGATTGGACATGGAACGTGCTGCGTTAGAGTGGGGGCGTGGCACGAAGGGAGTGTGCGTTGCCATGACGCAGTAGCGACCGCAATGGTTATCTGTAGCCATAACTCGAACTGACATCCTTTAACATGCGGACGCTAAACACCGCCACCGCCGTGCATCAGACGGCCTTCACCAGCCAGAGGGCGCCGCCCATTGGCGGGCCGTACCTGAAGCGAGCAGGCAGGCGCCTGCTGACCGCTGACCTCAATGTCCATCCGGGAAAACCGCTGCATGTCGTGATCCCCGCCCTGAAACAGGGGGGGGGGTGAGCGACTGGCTCAATAGGCGGCGCTCGGTGTCGACAGGTCGGAGACTGGGGCTCGGGGCTCTGGGGACCCGACCGGCTTCCTGACGCGACCACAGGACCAAATCAACGGCTGGTGCGTCGACGCTAGTGTAGACAAATCGCAGATAAAGATGCCCATTTTCTCGGCTTACGTAGGAAGGAATGGCAGAAAGGTTTTACCGCATTAGCAGGAAAACTCAATGCCAGAATTAGTAGCAGAGGCCTGCGGCTGGTGACTGTGTGCAGAGCATATCCCAGCACTCTGTCCTTGGTCAACTGTCCTTGGTTCAGCATGACCGCTGAGAACATACGAGGGTACCATCACCGTTGTACAACCAGGGTCGGATGTCAATGTTCTGCCATGGTTCAACCAGCCACAATTTAGTGTTTCGGCCGCGCGAGACGTTGCCCCCCACCTGGGTCACGCCAGGCTCGGTGCCCACTCTAGTGTTTCGGCCGCGCGAGACGTTGTCCCCCACCTGGGCCACGCCAGGCTCGGTGCCCACTCTAGTGTCTCGGCCACGCGAAACGTTGTTCCCTACCTGGGCCACGCCAGGCTCGGTGCCCACTCTAGTGTCTCGGCCACGCAAAACGTTGTTCCCCACCTGGGCCACGCCAGGCTCGGTGCCCACTCTAGTGTCTCGGCCACGCGAAACGTTGTTCCCTACCTGGGCCACGCCAGGCTCGGTGCCCACTCTAGTGCCTCGGCCGCGCGAGACGTTGTCTCCCACCTGGACCACGCTAGGCTCGGTGCCCACTGCGAAGTCTCTCGCCAATCCCGCCTGCCTGTGTGTAACGAGAACCCGTCGGAACAACAGGGGAGCCCGAGGGGAACCCGAGGGGAGCCCAGGGGCCGCTCACCCCGGACCCGGGACGATTGCGGCGCCCGCCGCCAGGCGCGCGGGGCAGATGACTGCTGTCACGCAGGAGAGCGTCACGCGGCGCCCAGCCCTGTACCGATGGCGGTGGCACAACGCGGCCCTGGCTGACCCAGAGACGGGACAGCTTCCCTCGTAAGCCCGCACCGGACGGCATGAGCATCGGTCAGTTATATGCGTAAGTCCTTGAAAAACATTGCTAAAGCAAATCATACAGACAGCCGAGGGGCACTCCGGCAGACGGGTGGTGTGTACTGAGTTGTCATGCTTTAAAAAGGTTGAGGCATCATGCCTCTTAGAACGTGTGAGGCCACCGCACTGATTAGTTACAATACATACAGTATGGTTAAATCGTGTCGAATTATTCATTTGCTGACGTTTCGTTACCCCCGCTGTACAAAAACTACTAACCTTATTACCAGCAGCTCATGCGCTACCTGGTAGCTCTACGCTAGCTCCGTCGCTGTACCAGTACCTAACGCTACTACCCCCCAGCCGTGACAAAACTACTAACCTTATTACCAGCAGCTTATGCGCTACCTAGTAGCTCCACGCTAGCTCCGTCGCTGTGCCAGTACCTAACGCTACTACCCCCCAGCTGTGACAAAAACAGCCAACAGGGGAGCTCCTACTGGAGTCATTGGAGGGCGCTGGTAGCGCACTCCAATAACTCGTGTTTTGACATCCCTGAACGCCCAAGTCAAACACCACACATTACTTGGATTGCTCACTGATTATTAGGAGGATAGCGCCTAATGCCGATGGCACCTTTCATGCCGCCACACTCCTGGCCCAACACTAGATATTCAGGTCACTCGCAAATACTGTTCCATTAGCGATCCGGGACGCGCACCCACAGGCTGCGCCCAGAGATGTCGTGCCCAACTGGCGACGTCGCAGCCGAGTTGGTGCCGCTCGCCGCCGAGGTGCCCGCGGGCCCGGTTCACCTGCCAAGCCACACTGCCGGACTGCCGGTCCACACCAGACCGACGGACTGCCGGTCCAGACTACCAGACTGTCAGACTGCTGGGCCAGACTGCCAGACTGTCAGACCGTCAAACCGTCAGGCCGTCAGATTACCCGGCTGTCAGACTCTAAGACTCAGACTGCCAGGCCACTTCAATCTGCCGCTGAGCACGCCGTACCGGCTGAGCCGCGGCGACCGTAGGCTGGCGGGCCGCTCCAGCCTTCGGTCGGCGGGTGGAGCGTCCGGTCCGCAGGTCACCTGGGCAGGTCAGGCCGGCCCTCTATCGGCTGTCCGCGTGTGATCACAAACATCCCCGGCCAACGGCGCGTCAGCCGCCGCCGGCACGAGACGCGGTCGGCGGCGCTTCCGCCGCAGCACGGCCTGCGTCTTGCGGGGGCAGCGGACCATTGGACGTTCAGTAGCGCCGCCCCGGCGCCGGGTCCCAACGCCGGGAGCCGGCCGACGGCAGAGCGGTAGCCGCTGCGGCCGGCCGCTGACGGACGGCGACCGCCCGCCGCGCGGGTGACAGGTGGCAGGCGCCGGGCCACCCGCCGCCGCCGCCGCCGCCGCCGGTCCCGTCCCGCGCCGTCCCGCCCGCCCACACTGTCCTCCGCCCGAAGACATTGTGTCCCACGGTCTCCGGAGCGGCGGGCCTGTCGCAGGCGGGCAGCGGCAGACTCGCCGGCGGGGAGCCCGGCCGACCGCCGAATGGCGATATACCGTCCCTTCAAGGCCGATTTGGGCCTGTGTCATTCTCTCTGATCGAGAAATAAATTATGACTTCTGGGAGCAGTTTTCAACCACCAGCGAACCACAAAAAACAGAAATATTGAGACGTCTACCACTGATCTTTGGCCGTGAACGCTGTGAACTAAAGTGCTACCATAAATGAAGTACCACTTTGCATTATTTGCCTCGCACTAGAATGCTAAACGGACTGCAGAAGGGAGTGCGCTGGAATCTTCGGCGTATTCGACTCAAGTACGTTTTTTCGGTGGACTCCTTGCCTTAGTGAGGTTCACAATGCATACATACTTCCAAAATTACAGGCAGTTGTCCGCATAACTAGCTGATCCATGTCCGCTGGCTAAGCAGCTGGCACGACAAACATGATCTATGCGAGACATGTGTCAGCGGAACAGCTTACAACCGTACGATGAAAAGACATCTTGTCTCATACCAGTGCGCAATTTATGGGCATTAAACGCGCAAAAGTAGACAAGCTTTAATCGAAACCACGTCTGCTGACGCCGTCACATCTAAGTTAGCACCTAGCTCTCTACCCTCGAAGCAGGCTGGGCAAGGTCTGACTCCGACGTCATTCTGACGCAAAAGCTGACAAGCGTTTTGTTGAGAAACCTTTTCCGTAGCTCTGTGCGCCGGGGCGGCTGCCGAGCCAAGACGCCCCTCCGCAACGTCAAGATCCCACGCCAGTCTCACAGGGCGGAGGGGCTGCCGTTACCAGTCCCCCGGGACAGAGGGGCTGCCGTTACCAGTCCCCCGGGACAGAGGGGGCTGCCGTTACCAGTCCCCCGGGACAGAGGGGCTGCCGCTGCCAGTCCCCCGGGACAGAGGGGCTGCCGCTGCCAGTCCCCCGGGAAAGAGGGGCTGCCGCTGCCAGTCCCCCGGGACAGACAGGCTGCCGCTGCCAGTCCCCCGGGACAGAGGGGCTGCCGCTGCCAGTCCCCCGGGACAGAGGGGGCTGCCGCTGCCAGTCCCCCGGGACAGAGGGCTGCCGCTGCCAGTCCCCCGGGACAGAGGGTGCCGCTGCCAGTCCCCCGGGACAGAGGGGCGTGCCCGCCCCCGGGCAGAGGGGGCTGCCGCTGCCAGTCCCCCGGGACAGAGGGGCTGCCGCTGCCAGTCCCCCGGGACAGAGAGGGGCTGCCGCTGCCAGTCCCCCGGGACAGAGGGGCTGCCGCTGCCAGTCCCCCGGGACAGAAGGGGCTGCCGCTGCCAGTCCCCCGGGACAGAAGGGGCTCCGCCAGCCCCGGGGCAGAGGGGCTGCCGCTGCCAGTCCCCCGGGACAGAAGGGGCTGCCGCTGCCAGTCCCCCGGGACAGAAGGGGCAGTCACCGCCAGCCCCTGGGGCAGAGGGGGCTGCCGCTGCCAGTCCCCAGGGACAGAAGGGGCTGCCGCTGCCAGTCCCCCGGGACAGAAGGGGCAGTCACCGCCAGCCCCTGGGGCAGAGGGGGCAGTCACTGCCAGTCCCCCAGGGCGGAGGGGGAGTCGCTGCCAGTCCGCCACGGCAGAGGGAAGCAGTCGCTGCCAGCCCCATGGGGCAGCAGCGACAGCCATTGTCATACTCCTGGGGCAGCGGGGACGGCGGGGACGGCGGAGACTCGCCCCAAGAGAGCCCGTTCCCACCAGCGGACGGCATCGGATAAAATGCAGGCACGGTTGCCGCCCTCGAACGTAGCATCCGACCCATTACCTCCTCGGCAACGCCTGGCACGTTAGCGCACCAATAACGCCAACCGCAGACCGGACCGCAGGAGTGGTCCGCGCTGACTTCACCGGCACACGCTCCGGCATCAGGGCTCAGAGCTCCGGCACTATCGACAGTCCCGCCCGAACGGAAAACACGAACGCCTTCAAACCCAGGGGCATTGTGGGCCAGAGGTCTCCGAGAACGGGAATCCAACTCGGAAGTGGCCAGGACGGACAACGTTACAATCTACCAATGGGAGGGCGACGCCAGCGGGTTATCGCGAGACATAGGTACCACTCGTGCTCCCACGGCTGGGCCGGCGCACCGGCCGTCACCTACCGTGAGGGGGACGGGGCTGGCCGTGCCGTCCGAGCTGCCAGAGGTGCCGTCGCCGCCGCCGTGCGGAGCGGCCCGGCCGCCATGCTCCTCATACACGGCCACGATCTGCTCGCGGTCGTCGGCCACGTCGCTCAGCCGGTCGTCCGGGTCCAGCAGGCCGCCGTCCACCGACTTGAGCGAGTGCACAGTCACCCACGAGTCGGACGGCTGCAATGGCATGGGCGGCGTCAGCGCATGGGAGTGGGGCGGCATGGGCGGCGCCCAGATACGGGTACGGAACAGAGGCGGTGGCAGGGGCTGTGTACGGGCCCGGATGGAGGCAGAGGCATGGTCCAGCCACACAAAGGCCGATCATGGTGGGAAGTCACGTGCCCACAGGAAATCATGTGGTGGAATCAGATGGTGGGCCCGAGGACAGGATGGGGGCATTTGTCACCCACAAACAAAAATCCATACTGCTTTGCCAGAGGAAAATAGTCAGGTCAAGCATCGTGTGACGCATAAAATTATCAAACACAGACGAATGTACTCGCTTGTCCAGTACCAGCAGGTTATCTCAACGGAACTTCCAAAATGGCGAGGACGTAGCGGCTCGTGGAACAGACAAGGACCGATCGGTGACAAACAGGAGCAACAAGTTACGTAACGGGCACTTTTCAGCTCCAACGCTTGGTAAATTACACGATGTGAGTGCCTGCTCAGCCAAATGTTCAAAACGTTTGGCTATTCACCTAAACTGAAGAGCACCATGCCTCAGACCTGGACATGTAAACCACGCCACTACGAGCTGTATGGCCGCCGCTTGTCTGCTGGCTCCCGTGGGCGAAAACGCCCCGCTGCGGACGGCGCTGCCGCGGGCGGCGGGAGTCGATGCTGAGATCGCCCCGCCGTCCGGCCGGCGCTCGCCCGTCGCCGGCACCAGGCGCCCGTCCCGGCCGTGCCGGTGCGCCCGGACGTCACTGTTACGACCCCGGTCGACACGCGGACAATGGCGGTCGAGCGCCGACCGATCGCTATCGACCTGGCTGCTCTCATCTGTCCGGGCGGAACCCGGTGCCGGCCCCGGGGCCAGCCTCCCCGGCGGCCGACCGATTGTCAGCAAGCAGCTGGTCCGACGGCCTTCCACGCGCGAGCCGCAAGTCACGCCGGAGGCCGGCACTCAGACCCGCAGCCCATGACCGCAGCCCGAGCCTCCGGCGCCCCGCTCGACCCGCAAGACGAGCCCGCAGCGTGACGCATCGACACATGCCCGGCTGGTGATTGTTGTTGTTGTTCATTGGTGTTTTCGGGCGCGTCGACTGCAGCGGTCATTTTGGGCGACGGCCGCCAACTGAACAGTGTGCGGTGAGGCCCGGAGACGGACGGCCGCGGCCGGCCCGCACGCAGCAGCCAGGCTGGCTGTGACCGTCACAGTACAGCTCTGTGTCGAGCCAGCGAGGCAAGCCGCAGCGCAAGCTCCACCGCCGCGATATGAAGTCTGGAATGGGAGCGCACCAGCAATGAGCCTGGTCCCCAGATCGCTTCCCGAGAACTGGTTCCTGGTTTCTGATTTCGGAATCGGCAACCTGTCTGGAATAAGGTCAAGAAAGCCAACAGCAACCACAATCCAGCCTGATATTCGACCGACAGATCCAGCAAGAGCCAGTATCCAGCCTGCCAGTCAGCCGAAAGAGCAAGCAATGATCAGTGCCATGTAGTTCCTGGTTTGAGAGCACCAATAACAACCAACAACTATCATGGGATACACCCAGGCATCCAACAGTAACCAAGATCCAGCCTAACATTAAGTGGAACAATCCAGCAAGGACCAGGACCCTGTATGGAACAGGCAGAGATCCCAGAGAACCAAGATGCAACCCACCATTAGCTGAGATCCAGCAAGAGCTAATACCTAGACTGAAGTGATGTCAAAGGAAGCGATAAGAACCCACAATTTTTACCTGACCCTCCTTGTCAGCCTTTGGTGGATGGGCAGGAAAATGGCTAAGCCTGCTTCCAAAATACGTCAAAAGGATCCTCAAAATCCACTTCCGTCTGAAAGTTAAGAGGGCTGAGGGCACCCAAACAGATATGAAACCACATTCATAGTGTTCCTTACAGGTGATAAAAAATGGAAACTAAGCACACCAACCTTTCACAAGATCGTTCCAAATTTCAAATTTGGCTGCAACCCCGTCCCGACGAGATTTTTCCAAGATATTACGCGGCTTGAAGAGTGGAAAATGGCGAATGCACTTATGTGAATTTGTCCATTTCCTGCACTCATGTAACCTTGCAGTTATGGTTTAAAAATTTATTTTTGGCACC